TGCACTAGGAACATACACTTAGATATTGCCCATTCTGAGGCATGATGAATTTTTAAGCTGTGGCTAGTTAATAATTTAGTTTGTAAGAGGCAAAACATACCTTAAATAAATTCGTAAGACAAGTCAAAACACATTTAACTGTGCAACTTAACAGGTTGGCCATAAACAAAATAAAACACACACAGTTTAGTAAACTCCAGAAAACTAAAGCAACAAGCTCCTTAAAGCTCAAAAACACAGAAAGTGAAACAAAAACTAAGCTTTGAAAAAAACAAACTAATTGGTAAGTGAAGATTTCAGAGAAGGCAGTTTTTCCACAACTGACATACAAAACCCCCAAACATTTATTACGATTAAAACCAAGTCTTCGCAACTACCTGTTTGCAATTACAGGTTTACTCCAACTGTTCCTGAACCAATACTAGTTTTTATTCTTTCCTAAACTTTCTTTTCCAATTCTCAGCTTCATTTCAATATAAATGAATGCTTCTGTCTAGATTTCCTCCCCAGCTTCCTTGGCACATATTCCTTCTCCTCCATGCCAGGAATTTTCTGCTTTGTTTGAAGATGAAGAGTACAAGGCAAAGCCTACCAACGACTGAAGACGCTAGGAGCATTAGCTCAGTTCAGATGGCCTGAAACTGGTTACTAGCAAGGCTGGCTAAAGAAGACCAACACAAAGTGTTGGTCAGTGGAAACAACATTACAGAAGCAAAAAGTGGGTATTAAGGTTTCTGGTTTGTTAAATGCTTGGAAGTTTCTTCAATCTAGTTCTATTTAACTCTGAAAAGGAAAGGGCAACCAATAGTTCAAAATACTGAAATGCGCTGTCTCCCAACACAGGGAGCCATTTAAAAGAAAAGAAGTAGTCTCACTCCAGACAGTGATACTTCTGGTCAGCGAGCAGGTAACAACATCCACAACACCTCCCAAGCTGTCACTACAAGCCATGACTATCTCTGTGAGAGTGTTTGTTTCCAGAGCACGATTCAGTAAACAAAGTTTTGTTTCAGATATCCAGCTATCTTTTAAATTTCTCAAAATTCTGCTTTCATAAATCTAACATTTGGAAGGAAGAGAGTATCCAGGTACCACAAAAGCAGCAGAGGACAGAAACTCAACTGTATGAGTTTCAACAAGGCCAAATGGCAGGTCCTGCACTTGGGTCACAACAACCCCATGCACTGCCACAGGCTTGGGGAAGAGTGGCTGGAAAGCTGCCCGACAGAAAAGGACCTTGGGGTGCTGGTCGACAGCCGGCTGACCATGAGCCAGCAGTGTGCCCAGGTGGCCAAGAAGGCCAAGGGCATCCTGGCTTGGATCAGGAACAGTGTGGCCAGCAGGAGCAGGGAGGGGATCGTGCCCCTGTACTCAGCACTG